ATGTAGCATTGGTAAACCAACAAATGGAAGCATATTGCGCTGAATCTCAAATTTCATTAAATGTTCCTCCTGATCTTTATGATCTTTAAGATTAATTAATAAATCATACAGCGAGGTTGCACAATCAACTTTTTTGTATATATGCATATTAATAGACTCGACTCTTTGCGTGCTTTGAATCCCTCCAGTAAATTGTTTATAAATTCAAGGAACTGCCCATGACTATTTAGACTATAAAGCATATCAGTTAAATACTTTGTAACAGCTAGATATTCATCTAATAGTTTTGCCCAACGAGTTTCAAAAAGACTTATACATAAACTATTACGACAGGTATAAAAATCAGAATGAAATGATTCAAATTAAGAACCTAATTTTCCTCTTAATTTTTTTTTAAGGTTCATATCTATGTGAAATATGCATAACATATGACTGGTGGTAGAATATACAAACTTAATTGCACTTATCATAGCAGGATCACTATCGGTAAATATTACCATAGATATGATATCCGTCTCCTCAAGCAATGTTTCATAAATCCACTTATAAGTATCCAATGTCTCATCCTCAATAATACAATTTGCTACGATTCTTGTTTTAAAATTGTTATCAATTATGGCAACAATAAAAAGCATCATCCGGAATTGGTTCATATTTGCAGTTGCATCTATAATTACAATATCATGAAATTGCTCATAAAGTAACTTTTGTACTAGAGATAGCTATAATAAAGAATTTAGCTTTCTTGATACTGTCTCAATACGTGGTACAACTACTTATAAAGGATTTTCCTCCTTCTACTTTAATAACGTTTGAAGCATTAACGAGGCATCCAAGTCACCAGGGTTATAATTTCGGCAAAAATTATATATAGTATTGTATAAATCCCGTTTATTTAATAGATGGTTAGGATAATCATGTCGAAGTAAAGGATAAATTGACCCTGAGTCCATTTTGCCCTAAATTACATACTTTTCAATGTCTGATAACATATCAGGAGTCAACTTGCGATATTGTGTAGCAATCTCATTAACCATAGAGATAAGTGGATGGTTGTGAATATTACAAAAAGAATTGATTTTTACTCTCGCTATTGTTTTCGGATATATAACACATAATTTCCAAGAACATTTAGTCCTTTGAGACTTAGCATTACGACGCTTAGTAGGATCAACTGTCACGTTTGGACTATAAGTGCCGGCTTTGGTACACACATAGGTTGCCCTTCGAATTATGCCTTTATCATCTGCTTCACTCGTCCTAATTTTATAGTCAAACCCTTCCTGCAGTACAAAATGATTAAGCCAAGCTTTAAAAGAGTCCCAGCATGAAAATGAAATACCAACTACCAATTCCAAATGCAATTCATCATCTGTTCCATTATTATCTGATCCATCTTTATCTACTGAGTTGCATGATTGAGTGGCCATATAATTATTATCATCTGAGCATACAGAATTGTTATAATAATTAGATATATCATGGTAATCATCTTCTGAGAGTACAGAATTGTTGTATATATCAGGATAATCAAGAGGAATAGTCGTCTCAGATTCAAAATAAACAGTGTTATTTAAATCAAGTTCATTAGAGTTAAGTAGATTATTGTTAATCATTTCAGCTGATTCCTTATTTATAAAATCCTATATTTACAATAATTTTACTAAATATTATGCTTAGAGAATGGTACTCATAAAAGACAATCAAATAGTTATATTACCATTATTGACGAAAGGTACGTTTAGTATTAGTCAGTAATATTATATCCCTTGTAAAATTATAAAAGAATTGAAAGAATTAGCATAACTATTATAAAGCTCAAATTTAAATACCAAAATAAACATTTACAAAGTAAAATAAGAAGGTATTATACCATAATACAAACATACAGAAGTCAAGTTATTTTATATAACCTTTGTAACCTGTTTCAAAATAATCTTAAATACATTACTAAAACAAATTAAATAAACAATATCATAAATATGATATGTATAGATACCATAATTCAAATTAGAACAGATGTATGGAAAGCCAAGAGATTTGTTATAATCTTCAACCAAACTTGAACCCTAACCCAAAAAAAAAAGATTTTAATGCTAGCACTAACACAAAATTCGATATTAAAACAATTAATATGAAATACTCACGAACAAGCGATTATTAGTAACGAATCAAAGCAATATGACCGAAAGTCAAAAGTTTAAAAAAAGCACCCAGCACGAACTTTAAACCAGAAAACTCTTAGCATTCACAGCAACCCTAATCTTTACAATGATATAAAATACATACTTTGAAAGTATTGCGCAAGCACAAGCCAAAGATATGTGCTAAAAGTCTTGTTTAGTGCCTTAGAGAGAATGAAAAAAAGAGTGTATAAAAAAAAGACACTAACGCTAATGCAGTAGTAGTCAATTGATGCATATCATGCGCACATGTTATTAGTACATGTGATACAGGTTTCATACACCCAGTGTATAATTAGAAATATTCTTTTTTATATATATATCTTTAAAATAGGATTTGATACAGAGCTTCTTTATTTTGTAAGATATAATTTTTTAAAACCTAATACAGGCTTATAATTGTAATCTGTCAGATTCTTTTTTCTTCACCTTTCATCTATGTTTTTGTTTTTAGTATTAGTTTTTATTTTTTTTTTCTTTCCTTTTATGGTTTTAGCAATCTATAATCACCAATTACAGGAATGTTTTAATTTTCTCGTGATCATGATTGACCAATAAATTAATATATTTTAACATACTGCACCGAAAATATAGCATTTTTTTGAATCGCTAAAACTTTCTATAGAAATTTTTTTTTAAAAAAAAAATATCAATAACTTTATACATCGAACTGAGCTCTACAAAGTTATCAGTCAGTTCTTTAAAAAAATTCTTTTATAAAAAGTTATAGCAATTTAAAAAAGAAACCAATCTTCAAATCGCTATAACTTTTTACAAAAAAATTTCTTTAAAGAACTAACTAATAACTTTGTAGAGCTTAGTTCGGTGTATAAAGTTATTAATAAATTTTTTAAAAAAATTTTTTCTATAGAAAGTTTTAGCGATTTAAAAAATGTTATATTTTTGGCGCAATATGTCGAAATATATTAATTTATTGATCAATCATGATCACGAGAAAATTAAAACATTCTTGTGATTGATGATTATAGATTGCCAGAACTATAGTATTAGTATTAGTGTTAGTATTTTTTTTTTTTTTTCTACTTTTCTATAAAAAGATATCATCAAATTAGCAATATTTTATTGTAGGGTAGTGGTCTAACAGTACCTTCTAAGATAGATAAAGTCTCTTTTTTAAGATTTATCATGACATATTCATATAGATATATTTGCTCAATGTAGCTAGTCATTTATAAGTACTTTTACATGGTTAATATATTAAAGTAACTGTGAGATATTAGGTCCAAATATTAGTAGCTATCTGTCATTTTATCTAGTAACTATGATCATTAATAAAGAAATCTCTGGTAAGATAGCCAAAGTAGAAAAAAAAATTCTATTCAAATTTCTTTAGGTTTTGCTTTATTATTCCAATTACAAAATAAATGTTAAACAGATTTTTACTATTTTTAAACAAAAAAAGCAGAAAATAGATATACTATGAAATGTAGTTATTGTTTAATTGAATTAGTTAGCAAGTTTGAAAAACTCTATTAGCATGTTCTTTATTGCAGTAATTGGCTACTTTCTGAAAGAACCAAGTATTCTTAAAAAATTATTAACAAAAATCTTATATTCTACGAGCATTCTAATAACTATCTTGACAATAAAGAAAATAATTCTTCAACTAAACCAACTATTTATGACAATAATAATTCACAAGAGCTATTTAATCTACAAGAGTTACTTACACTTTACCAAAATACTATTACTAATTGGTGTATTCGACCCTTATCACAAGAGGATCCAAAGTAATCTATATACAGATAAGAATATAATTTGCTTATTTTTAACTATTTTTTGCAGATCTTTTTTTATTTTAAGTAAAACATATGCTTATTTTTGATTATTTTTGTGCAGATTCTTCTATTTTTAGTAATTTTTTAAACCTCTTACCCCTACATAGATTGCTCGGGTCCTATCACAAGTATAGTTTAAAAACTTCATCTGAAGTTTTTAAAAACTATTATTTATAGAAATATTTCTTTTAATTTTGTTGAGAATTCCTATTTTCAAAAATTTTTTTACAAGTTAAATCCTTTATACAATCCTTTTTTCTGAGACATGATCAAAAAATATCTTTTAACTGAGATATTTTCAGACTATTTTCAAAAAAATTAACAACTCTTTTAACTTTAACCAATATTATAATTTCTTTTGACAGATAGACAGACAATTTTGAAAATTCGATATATAGATTCATAACCCTTAAAGAAAGTCAAGAAATTGTGTAGATATTCTTAATTTGTTAATATATTATCATACAAAAAACTTTCTTAAAAATAAGTTAAAGGAAATTTTAGTTATTAATAGTATTAAAATACTATTTATTATTATCTGTATTATTAATAACTCTTCGAATATTGATTTGGACCCTGTAGCTTATTGGTTAAGCTTCCAAACCCCCACAGACAAGGTCAACAGTTCAAATCTACTTGGAGATATAAAATCTGAGATTTTTAATCTTTTGTAAGCCTAAATAGCGGAAGCACTATTTTGGACGTGGAGCCTTGTGGAAAATTCAAGTGCAAGTACAAGTTCTGGAATAGGAATTCCCAGAATGAGCCCTAATCATGAAGTGGTGTCGATACATGTGTCTCTTACAAAAGGTCTATGTTGTAGAAGATCGTACATGTAAGTCCTCTGGTTGGGGTGATCTAGAAGCAACATCAATATCTCTTCGTCTCTACTTTAGGCAGTATCAACATTCCTGCACCCAACTTGTGGGATACTTGCTTGAAAGGATAATCAATAGATCGTGCATATTAGTTCTAATTTGGATTAGCATTGGGTACTTGCTTGGAAGGGTAATACAATATGACTAAAACTAGAATATCAAGAGAAGCGATAAACATGTGAAAGGGCTATGGTAAAGAATTAGCCTTATCTGAATTAGAAGCACCTTTGGTACTATAAAACAACCAACTAAAAAAGGTAATTTTATAGAGGCAGGCTAGCTAATCTAGTATATCTAAAGATATCAAGTCAGAGTTCTGGTTATATCTATATAGAAGTCTATGACGAAAGAAGCCAAAATATACCAATGATAATGCAGCACCAACTAATAGATGAGAGTTCAAGTTGGAAGTTAATGTGAATTGGGGTACGCTTCCTAGTAACATGATACAAGGCCTATGTCTCTAAAAGTAGGACTTGGGCTCGTCTTGATCTTACAAAATATAGTTCTGGTAATACACTATATGAAGAAGTACAAATGGATTAGTTGGTACCACTATATCAGAAAAAGAATGTTAAGTCCTGGTGTGGCAAATCAGTAGCGGCAGCAGGACTTGGCTTGAGATATGGGTTAGTAGTATCTAGACAGATAAGTGGAAGAGTCCTTGCCAATTAGCATATCCAGCAATATAATACCAACTCTGTTATATGATGAACCTAACTAGACAGCAAGTTTCTAGCTTGAAATATGAGGCTGTAAAAAGGTCACCTGCACTAATTATAGTTATACTAATAGGATCTGTCAGGAGATTTGCAGTGGATCATGTTTGTAGGTATACCAATTTGGAAGCTTATTAGAAGCGAATACCTGATGTACCAACTTGGAAGTTATGACTAGTTATGTGAGACATGGGAGAATATGTAGTTACTAGAAATAGTTAGTTGAGAAGCACAAAGCTAGATGATACATGTGTGGGGTATGGATTACTCTAGTAGGTTTAGATCATAGATAAATTAGTCTAAGTCTCTGTAGTTTGTAAAATTAATATATATATATATGTAATTATAATCATTGAAGCTATATATTAATAAAAAACCAAAGGCGTGACCTTATCTTAATATTAAAAAAAAAAAAATCTTTTCGAATATAAATAGATTGAAAAGATTATTTTATGTAAGTATATAAAGTTAAATTTTGTATATTATATAAGCATAAAATTTATATCTATCTATATATTACATTATATAATATATATATATTTTTTTTATAGAAAGAATATTCTAATATTATTTCTATTTGCTATTGTCTGCATAT